CCCCCCCCCCCCCTCCCCCCCACAGCTCAGGTAGTGAACCCTACAAGATAGGACACGACTTTCAAGCCAGGCAAACGCCTTTTTGTGCTGAATGTTGAGTCCTCCGTACGCGTTGTCGTAAGGGGCGCTTGGTTTTTCAGAGCATGTTTGGTTCCCTCGTCTTTTGCGTTCGTGCATTATCTTTAGACCAACAAGGAGCAACAGTTCAAGAGAGAACTGGAAAAGGCGCACTTATCGAATGTAGAGAGCGAAAGAGAACAGCCAACGCAAGGCGTCATGAGCCTCCCCGTGGCGGAAGAGAAGAAAGGGGTGATGGGGCGCTAGCGCGGTTGGGAGCCGTACTTCAAGTATTGACACGCAAAACAGTGATAGCAAAAATGTGCTCTTCGAAGGGAAAGGCTCAGGCAGTGCCTCCTCTTCTGCAAGGCTGTGCAGGTTTAGCTCTTTCCGGTCCTTCATATGAAGACCAGTCGACCGTATAGCCACGAGAATCAACAAACTCAGCAACACAAACAGCAGCACATGCGCTGCTTACATCCGGATAAGAACATTGAGACGTGCCAAGTTCACGTTGGACAGCACTAAATATTCAAGGAGAGGGCCGATGTGGAGGGGCATCGGTCCCCAAAGTCGATATGTTTTTATGACAAAGGAGTGGTTTTCTCCGTTTGCGCATACAGTAGGTATTATCACAGTGAGCCCTGTTTGTGAGCTTTTTATGATTCGTGTAAGGCATTCTTCCGTATATGATATACTTCGTTTGTACTCGCATATTCCATGTCGCCATCGCTCAACTTGTTTTAGGCATGCATTTGTGGTTGGGAATTCATGACCTTCGACATTGAGCTGGCTTATCGTACGAGCATTCACTCATCAGAGCACGCATACCTCGGCTATCTCTAGACTTTGTGATATGTTGCCTCATTCTACATGCAAACACCTTTACAGTGCAGATGCTCGTCCATTGATGTTAAATGCATCCTCCCTTAGTACTGCTTTCTGTTCAGTTGTACGTTACCACCGTAGTAATGGCTGACACTGCGGTGAATCCTCCATATTTTGTCGACAATATTATTTTATCTAGTTGTACACCTCTTCAAAATTCGTTATACTTTGCTTTATACGTTTTGCCTGTCTATAATGGCAGCCGCTGTGTTGTGGCTCTGCATTTTCCGAAGTCTGAGTGGGAGATGGCGTGAAATTTGGACTTTCCCTCCTACACATATGCTCTGCTGATTTGTGTAATAGTTGTCCTCTAACAGTTGTCCTCTAATCGCTGCAGCAGTGTGAGCATGGACTTGAATGGAACACGACTAGCATCCTCGCATTTGTGCAACAGCTTCATTGTGTTAGTGACCTTTCCGCATTTGGTGCGGCAAGTGTGCAGGGGGCCACACGCATTCTAGCAAACCCACAAAAGTGCTGCAAAGGTCTCACACATGTGAACTGAGGGATATTCAATTGCATGAGATGGAATTTTGATGCGACGGGCAAGCCATAACGGCTTGTCAGCTTCCCTTAAACAGACTATCTTTTCAGACTTTTCGCTTTGTTCAATTGCTGCAACTTGAAATAAATCAGCTAGCACAAGTTCGCGGCGCTGCTGCAGTCAAAAAGTCTTAAAACAGGCACCAAAAGTGGACAGTTACTCAGACACTTAGTTCAGGGGATGCATTGTGTAATTACCCACTCCCAGATGTCTAGTTTGTCCAGCAATAGTGCATCAAACGGCACACTTTCCGGCTGCTAGTCGCTTCCTCTTGTACGTATTTATTTAGTTATTTTGTTCGTTTCTGCTGAACAAGGGAAATCTACCACTCGTCCCTCCCATTCTACATTGTTACTGTTGCTCTGGAGACGGACGGTTCCGCAGCACGCACAGTACGCAGCTACAGTGAACGGATTCGGCTCTAATTGTGCTCTCTCTACAAGATATCAATATGTGAGAAGCAGTTAATTAAACAGTGAGTTTCAGAAATGTTTCTGCAGCGACGGAGGCGTGAGCAGCGGCAGCAGGCTCAGAGTCTCAGCTACGCAGATGTCCGCTGTCTGCTCAGCCAAAAACCATTGTAGCTGCCAGTCCTTTTGGGCCCTTCTTCGCCTCAGCATACTGCCCTTTCTTTTGTGTTGCTTTTTAGAATAACTTTACAATTCTTTTAATTCTGCCACTGCTTGTCTGCCTGCAATCCCAGCACCTTCGTGCAGGTTGGCTGAACTCGCAGCGGCGGTTCAGAATTTCCTTCAGGAAGAACCAAACTCAAAAGTATTAACCCCTTCCCCCTCGAATTTGCCACCATATATTTGAGGAGGAGCTTTTGAAGCGGGTCTCTTTGAGTGTTCGCCCTTTCCCACACCACTGGAACTTCGCAATGGCGAGCCGTGCCTGGTCCGATTTCATGAACTATTTCCGCACTTATGGCCGCACAACACATTTCTGGGGCCCAGTGGCGAACTGGGGTTTCGTCATCGCTGGGATATCTGACATGCGGAAGAGCCCAGAGTGCATCAGCGAGAGAATGACCGGAGTCCTCTGTGTCTACAGTCTCCTCTTCATGCGATTTGCGTGCATGGTACAGCCACGAAACAACCTCCTCTTTGCTTGCCATGCATGTAATGAGGCTGTGCAGCTAACTCAGCTCTACAGGAAGCTCAACTACAACGCAACAACAGGGGCTGCGCGCCTCAAAAGTGAAGGAGCAAACAACTAAACAACTAACAGCCAAACTTAACGCCATCCGACCCGAGTGTAGAGCGAAATAGGCACTTGGTGAGCACAATTGGATTTGTCTTCGACCCCAGCCTCACAATCATGCACCGATGAAAACAACAGCACAAGCAGGGGATTCAGGAGCTGATGCAATAACTGTACTATCTACGGAAGCGGCAGTTGGGTGTTCCGATGCAGATAGGAATGGGAGGTGGTGTGAGGTGTTGTACTAACTGTCGTTGTGTCCCGCTGCTCTGTCTCTGCCCTGTCAGTAAGACACAGCAGCTGTCCGTCGACAGAGGTAACAGGTGAATGTCCTGAGATCCTGCGACCCGTTTGGCTCCCTGCTCGCCTCCCAGCGATCATAAAAGGCCTTGGGGGCAATGAGTGGGCGAGGCAATATAGTGAGCTTACGGCCCAATTAGGTCTATTAGGTGCATCCCCTCCACATTGATGGCGGCAGCAATCACCAAACGTAGCACTGCTGCTGGTGCTGTCGTTTGCTGAAAGTTCCTACTGTGCGTCCTTCGCCACAGTTTCATTTTTTGTGTTGTGTACGGGAAACAGCCCACAGTTGTCTGTGCCCGTTTGCGTTACTGAACCTATTACCACTGTTTCCAAGCCTCACGGCGTTCTTTGGGCGTATGGATATAAAGCTGCCCATAAATTGTAGTCTGCAAGTATTACAGAAATGCTGACTGATACTCTGTGGACTGCCTGTATACCTCGTGCGGCCCAGAAGACACAACATTCTAGTATTCTAGAGACGCCCATAGTACAGATCGCATGCACTACATTACATGCATTACCCAATTCCTGGACATATTCGCTGCAGCAACATCAGCTGCAACTACCTCAAAGCTGCTGCTATCTCTATACGCGTGTAATGAAGTGACCCAACACCGCCTGCCGCACAGCCGGCCTGCAGCTCTTCAGCAGCCAAACTCCCGCCCACAGCAGCACCGCATGCCGCAGTAGCTCTGCAGCTCCGACGCTTTCCAGACACAAAATGCGCCGAAGTGGCCCTTTATGGGGGCACCGATTGGGCTCCGAAGGCGGGCTCGTCCCCTTCTCACCAGCCCCACGGGTCGCCTCTTCTTCGCTCGCCTCATATCCACGCGCCTTCCTTGCTGAAGTACAGTCCCAGGACTCCGCACCCGCTGCTGCAGTTGCTGCTACTACGCACCTCCGGTTGTCCCCACTGGGCGCCCCTTCTGTGCCACAGCTGCCTCCTGGATAGGGGCCCCCAGGCTTGGGACCTGTGCTCCCAGCAAAACTGTTAGGTCCTTTAGAGCTCATTGCTGCCTGCAGCAACCCATTGAGGGCTGAGATAACGGATATAAAGGCGTTCCTCTGCAATGCAAAAAAACAGCACCACTGCCCGTAACTCTCAGCAAGCCATCTACCAGCCGTTCCCTGTAGCTCGTCTTACCCGCCGAAGGCCTTCAGGGGTTGCGTATGCGCTGTTGGCCGTTAGTTGTGTAATGATGCAACAGCCGCTGTATCTGTGTATCTCTCTGAGCCTGACTGTTTCTGCCGCTGTCTCTGTACGTTTTTCCTGCCCCTTCGCTGCCCTTGTCTGTCCGTGTGCCCGGGTCTGTGTCTGTGTCCCTTCAATCGCGCGCACATGTACTGGGGGCAAAGACAGCAGAACAGCGCGACAGATGATGTGGAGACTGTCTGTCTGTACATCTTGCACCGCGAATTCGCTAGGAAAAAAGCAGCAGGTCCTTCCCCAGTACTCCAACAACTGCAGCAACACAGCCCACAGCTTCCGGAAAAGCTTTGCACCCTTTCCGCTGCTCCATAAAACCCATGTTCACCGCACTGGTGGTTCTTCTTCTGCTGCTGCTGGTGTTTCTCCGTATATTTCATCGTGGAAAGATAAACAAAACGGAACATGCTTCAGACGTACCGCCAACGCGGCTCCCACCGATATCCCTGAGGGCACTTCGACGCCGCGCTCTAAGCAGGCCCTCAAGAAGGCCACTTCCCGCTCCAGAGGTCCCCGGCAGCATGAAGGACAATGCTTGAAAGTCTCACTTAAGGTACTTCTCTCACTCTCTTCCCTCTCACCGGTTGGAGTTCTCATCCTCCTCCTACGACTGTTCCGTCTGTTGTTGCTGCTGTAGCGGCAGCAGGGAAGGCGGTCATCAGAATCAACAGCTGCAGCAGTAGGGGGATTTGAGCATAATGTTTGGCGCTGCATGTAGGTGTCTGAGCCCGCAAGGAAGGAGGGCCACGTGAAGCTGTCCCCTCCAGCAACAGAAAGGAACTTGACAACGTCTCTCGTGAGGCTTTCTCCACTCAGAGACCCCAACAGTCCCCGCTGCTGCTTCTCGCGAAAATTGCTAGAGCACGGAAGGCCCCCACTAAAGTGGTCGTCATGGCATTCGCTGTTGCTGTCACTCGTGTCGCTGCTGCTACTGCTGCTATCGCTGTTGCTGCTACTGTTGCTGGTGCTGCTACCTGTCGCAAACCCCTGGTGCTGGCCCACGGCAAACTGTCCCTCATCCCCACCGCCTTCTTCTCGCCGTTTGCGCCTATACCTGTTCGTGTGTCTTACCTGAGGCCCCAATGATGTGGCTGCTGCTTGCGACTTGCTGTGCAGGTGGGAGAGCAGCCACCAGAGTTCTTTGGGCAGCGGCAGCAACGAGGAGTTTACCTCAGCTCCACCACATGCCTTATCGCTGCCTTGTACCCTCTGCTTAGCATCCGTCACTCCTTTTGCTCCCGTTTGGTTCGTTTGCGCCAACGGTGCTACTGCAGCTGCAGCAGAAGGTTCTTCAGCAGCTGCCGCTGGTTGTGCTGGCGTTTGAGCTGCTGCTGCCGCCTTGGGCGGCGTCTCCGGGAGCAAAGGTCTGTCCCCCAGGAGAGCCAGGGGCTGCAGCTCTGCTCCCAACAAGGACGGGATGAGGGATGCCGCGAGGCAGAAGAAGAAGTCCTGGCGGGAGTCTTCAAGACGCAGAACCAACACCCCACAGGCTAACTCCTGTGCCCTGTAAATGCCTTCTTGAATATTCAATAGCATCGAAAGCACGCGAGTTTCTCCCCCCTTTAAAAACCCCTGCGGCCAATCCACAAGTAGCCACCTGCACATACACCACATCAATACAACAATCACGAGGTCCTCGAGCACCCTCCGACCTCTCTGGAGACATCATAAGAAACCCATTGCGTTGCACACATTATCATGCCCCTGAGGGCACCTATCTATATGCGAACCCAAGAGGTTCTCCGCAGCGTCCTTCATAACGGCAAGAAAAGCCACAAGAGTCCCCTGAGGGGACTATACTTTTCTCTTTAAGGCGTTCCTCAGGTGCCTTCATCACTTCAGCACCTTCTAAACGGGGCGCCCGAATAGGGATTTTCTTAAACAAAGCCAACCCACTAAGGAACCCATGAGAAATAGCTGTCATGCCCAACGGCCCCCAAGGGGTGAGAAGAGCTTGGCACCAGCACATGAAATTCAGTCGAGTAACGCTCTGCAAGCTAGTTGGCCCTGAGTTTCCTCACCTCTCCAGACGCATCGGCTGCCGCACTTCATCAGTACTTTCTGCTGCAGCTGCTGTTGCTGCTAATTCAGCTCCGCTTGTGTCTCGTGGGGTATCAACCTGGGTTCCCGAAGCCCGCCGCTTCTCTTCTGTCTGCTCTTGGAGGCGCTCTGCCTCCCACTGCAGCAACTGCTGCTGCCGTCGCTGCGGCGGCAGCTGCAGATCCTTTGGAGGTCGCAGAGCCGACTCGCTGCTGCTCATTGACCGAAGAGACTGTGCCTCCCACAGTGGTCCTCCCAGCCACTTCCTGGACAGGGCGCCATGCCAATAGGAAACATGTGATAGAGGGACTATGGATTTGCCTGCAGTATAGGAGACACCCCACAACTCTCAAGATGAAAATACAGAGCATGAGAAAAGGCAACAAAAACAGACCATGAGGTATCGAACAATCCGGCTAGAAGGCAGAGACGACTCCCTAAGGGACCTGATCAATTCCTATCCCCAACTCAAGCGCTAGACCCATTTAAACCCGAAACCCTAACCGGAGTCTGAGAGGCAGTAGACGGAGTACGCAGTAGGCAGCGTCGCGTGCGGATTAGACAAACTGATTTTGAGTTCCATAGGTTCGAAAGGACGGACAGGTGGCAGTTGAAGCAGTGGCGGGTCGATCACAAGTTTGCTGAGGCAGCGGCCTTCTTGCTGCAGCAAGGGACAGCAAACGGCATGCGCATCCGCTTTGCCCTCCGCCCACTATCCATACGTATCAATCCTTTGCCATAGACCCACGGCATACACACAACCATGCCAACAGTGTTGCTTATCTGCGAGGTGCACGGGGGCGACACCGGAAAGGGATCAGGGGACACCTTCAGTGTTTGCCGCAATTCATTGCAGCTAGTCTTCACCCGCTCCGTGTCCACCCTCTCCACCACTAGCCGACAAGACATCCAGCGCACCCAAAAACGGGCAATAACTCCTCCACAAACTTCAGAGGACCCCCCAGGCATCTCCCCAGGTACGCCCGAAGGGGCTCCCCCAAGGAGCCAAGCAGGGGTCTCCTCACGGGCTCCCACACAGTCCCCCTTGAAGAATTCCGTGGTCCAGGCTGGCCTGCAGCACAGCACCACAGAGGCAGTGACCAAGGGCCATTTCGGCCCCAGCTAGGGTAAATATAACTGATGGGAGCAAACTGCAGCAGCTGCATCTATGCGGACATGACATTACAGGAGACTCAGGCACCTCAAAGAACCGTCTGCCTGCAGCGTTATTGTTGCATGAGCCAACAGCCATTTCTGTTCCTCTGGTGTCTGTAGATACTGGTGTTGTTGTTGCTGCTGCTGTTGCCACCCGGATTTGGTGCATTTTCTTCTATTAGAGCTCAAGCTGTGGAAACGGAGCCTTGACGCCTCTTCATCGCTCACCGTCTCCACTGCGCCATTTTGCCTGCCTCCTGGAAACTGAGCAGCTGCGGCCCTGTTGCTCTTTGGGGTACACGGCAGCAGAAAAAGCCTGGCGACTCCTTCGTGCTGATGTCGAGTTGCTGCAGCTCCTGCAGCCGCCGCTGCCGATCCGCACCAGCAGCAGCCACGCATGTGTCTCCCTTCGGGCCCCCTCTACCCAAACAGCAGCAGGATGGGACACCCTCAAGCGCGCCCAACTGGTGCTGCGCACCCAGCAGCATCAGTGGCTTGAGATCCAACGCAGATGCCCAACCTGAATCTGTCTCGAAGCGGAGGCTGCAGCATATGCAGAGGGACCTGCCAGGAAAGATATGGGGTCCCGCACAACAACAGCGGCCCAGCCTCAGCCCAGTGTGATGCACGGTTCATGCATAATAACGGAGGAAAATCGGAGGACACCTCCAAAAGGAGCGAACACAGTCTACGAATGCAGCAATGCCTCCAGCAGCAGCAGCAGCAGCCTCACTCAGCAAGGATGGCGAGCAGTTGCTGCCGCTGTACTGCTCTAGTCAAAATTTTCCGCCAGGCAACCTCCCTCCTGTGCTCCTGAGCAGCAGCTTCGCCCACTTTAGAGGACATCCCGGTGCTACCTCCTGCAGCTGTGCGTTCTTTATAGGCTCCGGCTTCGTTATGCGCCTGCTGCGGGCAGCGGGTGCAGCAGCTGCCGGAGTTGCAGATCTCTAAGGCCTCCTCATTCAACTTGACATCCGCACAGGCAAAGACAACGGGCGTCGCACCGATGAGCACTCGAGCTGCAACTCCGCCGTATGCAAACCCTTCCTGAAACAACTCACAGCCACAACCACTCCTGCTGTTGGTGTTGCTGCTGTTGTTGGGGGGCATGCTGGAGGAGCCACCGGGTAGAGCTGAACACCTCCGACTGCAGCAGATGCCGTCCTGCTGCCGCTGGCGTTCTAAGCGTTCCTGCAGGCGCCACTGGCGCCGCGAGAGACCCCTGAGATGTATTGGGTACAGGTGAGGCCTTCTTGTCTCCTCTGCGTCTGGGTCTCCCGTTGCTGCTGCCGCTGCTGATGCCGCTGCGGCTGCTACTGGAGGTGCTGGTGCGGCCTGAGTGCCAACTGCTACGTCAGATAGGCCTAGGAAGTGGGTGAAGTTAAAGAAGAAGTCCATGCGCTGCTGCTGCTGTTGCTGTTGTTCCTTCTGCTGTTGCTTCCGCTGCTCTCGCAGCTGGTGCAGCCTCCGCTGTGTCGCGGCGCTGAGCCCCCAGGGTTGGCTGTAGTTATGCTGGAGGGTTCGGCAGCAAAACGAGCCGAGGCGCGACTTAGCTATGCTCAAAAGAGTTATATTAGGCAGGTGGCTGGGGTGTACGTACACCAGAAGCAGCTGGTTGTGGTGAGGAGAAGCATCCAGCGGCACAATCTGTTCATAGTGTGTTACGGAACTCCTCCGACTCGCTGCTGCCGCTACTGCTGTTTCTGCACCACCCCCTCCAGAAACACAGGAACACTCTCCACCATATAGGTGCCGTTCCAACGCTCGCGCCGCTGTGCCCTCAGCAGCAGCAAATGCAGCTGCAACACATGCAGCCCAAGCGTGTCTGTGCTGGGTCGCCACTTGATGGAGCCTGTGGCAGGAACAGACAGGACAAGGGTCGATGCAGCAGCAATAGGAGAAGGAGTAGCAGCACCAACAGCCTACCAGCGTCCCTAACCTGCGCCATCTGTTCTATTCAGGTCTCGAGCGCAGTCCCTAAATTTATGAAGACTCTGTGCTTTTGCTCGGGCATTCGCCGGTGCTGCGGCTGCTCTCTTCTCCGCCTCTGCTGCTGCTGCAGTCCCTGGCTGAGAGCACCCACCCCACAACTACAAGGTCTTGCTCTGCGCCAACAGCGGCCTGCAGCAGCGCGTGTAGCCGTAGAAGTTCGAGGTGTCTGCCCTGGGAGCTGGGAGGTAGTGGTTCCGAGGTTTGACCTTGCTGCTGCTGCTGTGGAGGGCTGCAGCTGTGTCCTGCAGTGGGAGGCGGCATGCAGTGGGTGTCGATGTCCACAGCCGACACATCCAGCTGCTCTCGTAGCAGCTCAACAGCAGCAAGCTGCTTCGCTGCAGCTCTCAAAATCCTGCGACGACCTGGCAGCAGCCGTCCCCCCCTCGCTGCGTTGCAAGGCGCTTCACCTGCGCATCAGAAGCGCATGCCCTGTACAGACATAAATCGCTCTCTTCAGGTTGTGGAGTCCGCAGGAAAAAAATGTGTGAAGCCAAAAAGCAGCAGAAAACAGAAGCAGCACAGTTTGGACGCATGCAGCACTGTAGCAAAGAATGCCAAGACAAAAACACCCGCTGCTGCTGCTGTTGATACACGCAGATTCTTGCAGCAGAGACAAAACCTTGCTGGCTGAACCCGAATACTCCATGAGACGACATAATTTGTCCTAAGCGACTTCTGCTGCGTGCTACCCACGAGCCCTTCACTCTGGAGATCGTGCCCCACCACCGAGCGTATGCCCACCCAGCTCTGCTGTTGTGCTTCTTCTGGACATCGAAACTTACAATGTTTCGGCAGGGAAGCTATGGACACGTGTGGGGGGCTGTCAGCCCTTTGGAGTTCGAGGGCAACGGGGGGCGACTCTCGGGTTGGGATCGGGATCGAGATCGAGGGCGCAGTCGTGATAGGGTCCACCGCCTCCCCTGCAGATTGGTCCTTTGAGGCAGCACAGGGGCCTGCTTCACCGGTGGGCGCAGGTGGCTCCATGGTAAGGCGGCTCACATGCACAGCTACCCCTTCGGATGTGGAAGGCGCCAGTAGCGGGGTGCCGCCCGCTTGCATGTACTCTCGACCCTACGCATGCAGGCATGCATGCACTTCCAATTGAAGCTACACAGCTGTCAAAACCATGACAGGCTCGCATGCACTCAGACAATAGCCCACAACCTGGGGGTGTCTCGGCTGTCGGTTATTGAGGTAAATCCCTCTCTAGGCTGGTCTGAACACAACCTCCGCAACAGAGGGAGGAGGAAAAAGAAAGGAGGAGGCAGATAAAGCAATAATAGAACCTTCCGCTGCTGTGTCGGGTGCGTCTGCTATGGTCCTACTCTGCGCAGCTGTCTTCGCGGCAGCTCTGCTGAAGGTGTATGCTACACGACTTTCCAACCCCCTTAGATGCACTTCATATGTGCAGTCCAACTCAACGCAACATATAGATATGAAAACGAAAGCATGCAGCCTCCAAGAACAGCTCAGCTAGCTGGAGGTGACGCAGGCTTGGGGCTGGGCGGGAAGGTGGCACGTGGGGCCCATGGTCTTTAGGCTCGAGGTAAACGGGACCCGCTGAAGACACAATTCCGGCGTGCAGAGAAAGTTGTAGTTCACTTCGTAATTGGGGGTATTGAATTTCAATGTTTAACTAAATTTGGGGGGCACGAGGGGGGCGCAAAACACGCCACCCTCCGCAGCCGGAAGAGGTGTGCTAAGACCCTCTCTTAGGCTGCAATGCCACTAGATCTAGAAGGAAACTGTCGAATACATCAAGTGTGAATTCGGTAGATGCCGCAACGCAGCCCAATAAACAACACCCGCGATGCCGCATCACCGTGAGCTGCAGGTTTCCCGGGTGCTCGCTTCTGCCTTCCTCGCTACTGCGGCGCCAAGTTAAATTCGGATCTTGCGTATGATATGTGTCCTGGTTAGCATTTCATACACCTTCAATCTAAGCACTGAGTTATACTACAGGAAACAAGGGAAGAACTTCGAGCGTCGCAACGCCCGTCCCTACATAAGAAGGCAAGTGTGCCGACACTGGGTATTTGCTGACAGTCGTTGCTCGGAGCCTCCTTCCACGGCACCTATGCTACTGCTCTACAGAGCACCCTGCGAGATTGATATGATTTCTGGGCGACCAAAAGCGCAGACGGCAATACTTTGTTGGCCGCCAAATATGCACTGTCAGCAACAAGACCTTTGCACCGTCTCTTCACCTCAACGCCTGCGCTGTAAAGGTCTTCTCCTAGCAAGGAAATGGCCGTTGGGTTGCCATCAAACATAGTAAACCGTAAAGCATACGAGCTGCACCACCGCACGCACGCAGGCCGACATAGTGCGTAGAGTATAAAGTTGCCCTCAACGGCTCGCTCCCGGGTAGGAGGCTTCTCTATTTCGAATTTCGCTACTGGTTAGCTATACGTATCCAGTAGCGGGTAGCTAGAGCGGTGTGCATCTCTCCGCGTTGCCGGCTACACCGTCTCTGCATGGGGCAGCCTCGCGCTCCCTAGAAAGGAGATACTCCCGCAACCCCTTCCTGCGAGTGCGCAAGAAGGTGTCTCTTCCCGAAGGCAGGGGAGTTGCCCTTGAGAGCTTTAATTGGCTCGCTGCTGCTTGTGTCTCTAGAGTTTCAACACAAAAGCGGACACGTGCAGCAAGAGTCCCTTCTGTTCCTCAGACGGCGTAAGGGACAAACGGGGCATATTGGTGTTCGTACACATCCCCGGATACAAAATAAAGAGAATGTATTGCAGCAGTAAGACGACCACCAGCAGATACTGCTGCTCAAGTCGCTCCTGGGCGTCGCACGCAGCCCCAAACTGACCCGAACAAGCTGCTGCTGTCGGCGGGACACTCAGTGAAGCCCTGAAGCCCCTTGCATTTTACTCCACCTATGCATGCAGATATACATGCGTGTGTACGTGTGTGTATGCGTACATATTGGGCAGATACGCATGCCTATGGTGGATAGACCCGACACGGCCCTCGTGTGTGTGCGCATTCCTCAACGGCGACGCCAGCGACAGGTACAGGGACCTCAGCGGCAGCGCCATTTGCTGCAATGTCTATATCCTTCAACACATCAAACCCTAAGCCCTTGAATCCTTTAAATCGTTGGCTGCTACGCTGCTGCCATGTGGTTCGCAGGAATGCTCCTTCTGCTGTCTTCTGTGCGCTTCCTGCGCTTCTATATTTTCGTGGCTCGTTGTTCGCCTCATACTTCTCTCAACCCAACTTTACAGTGACATCATCCAAGAACACCATCTCGGGAACCTCCAAATTCGTCGGCGCAGGGCCTTGTCGTACGCGACCTGCATAGAGCCCGCAGCGCATCCAATACATGCAAAAAGCATATTATACACCCCACAACGCACCTTATCACCCCCGTAGCACAGAAGCCCTCCACAGCGAATATATGGCCCATACCTGCTACATACCCCACAACCCTTATATGAACGCTAAAGTTCTCATACAGATCACAGTTCATCCAGCAATTGGAGCATCTACGACGCATTCTCGAGAGCTCTGCATTTGCCTTGTGCTTCGCCTGTCTTAATCATGCGGGTGCTCTACACGATCATACAACTGCCCTGCAACCGTAAGAGTACTCAATAAACTTTTGCAGCACCTGAAATGTCGTAGTGGGAGCCGTGGCACGGGCAGAACCAGCCATGGTAGCTGCCCCCCTCGACGGGAATGCACCCCAAGTGGGTGCAGACGCCTATATTGATGAGCCACTCCGGTCGCTGGCATCGCTCCGCGTCAGTCTGCGGGTCTTTCATAGTCCCTATCAGACTGTCGTCCGCCCTGCAGCGGAATCCACAAACAATACACCAGTTCTGAAGCAGCGGCAGTAGCACATTAAAGCAGCAGCAGTAGCACAGTAAAGCAGCAGCAGCAGCACACTAAAGCAGCATCAGCGGGGCACAAACACCACATGGAGCTGTAGCCCATAGCGAACTGCAGTAAAGAGAAGGGCAACAGCAACCATGTGGCAGACAAAAGAGGGAGGGGGGAACAAGTGGATTTTAGCGGAAGCAGCAGGAGACAGGAGACTGCAAGTGCAATAGGGTGCAGGATTGAGCAACAGCAGCTCCCCGTCTCTAGGTTTCCGAATGAATACATGTCTACAGCAAGATGCCTAAAAAATGAGAGCAGGCCTGGAATGTCTGCATCCTTGCCTTGCCCTCTCTATCTCTTCTTGAGTGCGGTGGCGGACAAACACCGGCTTCCCGCGCCACTTGAACACCGCCGTGGTGCCCGTCTCAATCGGCCGCAGATCTATTTCAGTCGTGCCAGATGCCATCAAATCCTGAGCAGCAGCAGGAACAATAGCAGCAGAAGCAGCAGTACCATCAGCAGCAGCAGGACCAGCAGCACGAAAACACCGGCAGTAACAGCGTAGGAGGAGGTTGTGCATGCTTCTTACCTTGCTGACCCACCAGAAGTGAACCATCTTACATAGGAGACTGCGCATCATACTGGCACCTATAAAGAAGTAAGAAGCGCTGAGAAAGTACATGAACGGCCTTCTGTCGGGGCTGCCGCTCCGGAGACGATAATCTCTGAAGTCGGGATGGGCGTCGCTGTTGATGCTGCTGGGGTTTGGAGCATTCTCAGCGTAGCCGACGGCGCGGAAGTTTTCCGGCGAAAAGCGAGCCACAGACACCAATGCAGGTTCGTTATCTGTCTTCCATACCGTCGTTCTCGTCACAGTCGCCCCCGCAGCAAGCTCTGGAACCCACGCCGACCGCACCGAGCGCATGCATCAGCAGCAGCAGAATACACATTGACAACGATGTAGGACAACGCCAAAAAAGCGCTGCATGCGTGCAGGGAATGTGAAACACGCCGCAGAGAAGATCAAGCAGCGCACTCACCACCCTTGCTAAGATCCGGAGTCCGAGGGAATGTGGGCTCCGCTGTCTGGTGATAGTGCCAGTACCGCATGCGCCTCAAGAACCCCTTCCGCTGATGAGGGTGGTTAGATGGCTGGACGAGGTCTGCACCTTCAATAAGCGCATCCTTGCCTTTGTTCTGCTCTTCCAGCGCCTTCCGTCGACGCTGCATCTCCTCTGCCTCCAGGGCAAACAACGAAGGGTCATCCGCCTGGTCAAAGCGATTCAGAAACAGGGGCTTCTCGCTAGCAGGAGGGTCCGACTTGTGAGGTCCTATGTTGTGGTTGAATGTGCTAAAACGCCGAGCCAACGGAACCAGGGGAACCACCGCTGGACACTCCTGCACTAACGGCGCCACGGGTGAACCCCGGCCCCCCGAGCAGAAGGGACCGAAAAGACCCCGCGGATACATCAAGCTGCTGGGGCCCCGTAGGGACCCCAGATAATTCACACGAGCAGCTGCTGACGGTGACATGTGCGCGGCAGCAGCAGCAGCGGCGGCAGCAGCACCGGCAGCGGCAGATACGGCAGATACCGCAAATCAGACTCAAGCAAGGCAATTGGAACTCCTTATTCCACTTTATATAAACCACAACCATACGATTCCAGTGCTTCTGACACCCTCCAACTCATAGCGACCAGCGGAAGCCCAGCAGCCGTCGGGAACGCCTGCGGCGACTGCATGCAGCGCCGTGCTGCACTAGAGAGCTGGCTCCGGTGATAGAAAAAACCCCCTGTTTTCATGCAGATTCGATAAGGATATAATCAGCTACGTGAACCAAACCATTTCAGTAGCGGCGGATGCACACACGAGAAAGCCGCATGCGAACAACAAACGCCCTGGTCAGGCTGCAGACTCACCACTGTATGTATGCCAGAAGGTGCTGAAAGTAGGTTAGACAACCAACAGATAAGATTTACGAAAAAAGAAGAATGACTAGTGGCCTTCCGCCGGCCATTTCGGGAGATCACTAGTCATCCGCCTTTTTTCGCAAATACCATCTGTTGGTTGTCTAACATACTTTCAGCACCTTCTGGCATACATACAGTGTTGAGTCTGCAGCGTGTATCACGTCTGCCTTGTCGGGAGCTAATCAAGGGTAGCTGAATACAGCTCCGCAGATGGAATATGAGCACTTACTTGGCAATTTTTAGGCAGCCTGTATTCAAGTGGAAGCACAACAATTGTCTAGCTTTAGAGATGATATCCATATAACAGCCCATGTCAAGTACGACATAAGACTTATGATTAATGTGAACTTTGAAGAGCACAAAGTTAGCTCAAAGCTTATTTGCACATGCGGCTATCCCGTCACTTGGTGGCTGGGCCACAACTACGTTGGTCTCGAGTCTTCTCGCAACCACCCTTATTTTTTCTGGGGTCACCGCTGGAAGCAGCGAGGCATCAGTTCCCGACTCTCTGCAAGCAGCCGTTGACCTCAGGCACTCTGTCGTTTCTAGAATGCATGTATACATCGGACCAGTGCAGAAAGCTATGTGAAAAGCGAGCCTCTGTGGGTCTGGCGAGCTGCAGATCAAAGCATCCGGGAGAGCCAGACCCATGAAAAATACGACAATTGCTAGGATGAACACGAACGGCCACTAAATCGGTGTGAAAGAAGACCAAAACAGGGGCGGCCACGAGCCTCCGTTGATGGGGTGTGTGTCTTTGTCCCTTTGCCTGTCTCTTGCTGTGTCAGCCTGCGTGGCTCCGTCCCCCCAAGCCTGCAATCCCTTCTATTTCGGCGCGTTGGCTGTCTTTGTCTTTTATGTCTGCTGTATGCATTTTACTGTCTGTCTCTGAGCATTCGCCTGGGTATCTTTCTGCTCAAAACCGGCTCCCTCTCGTGTGGTTTCCCCTTCTCGGCCTCTCTAGGGGCTCCCTTTGCCTCTTAGTGCTCGTCTGCTACTGACCGCCGCTTCCGTCTTCTAGACAAACGGCGACGGTGCTTCTGTCTGCTCGCGGCCACTCGGCATACAAATATACCAAAAGACATACAGATTGACGCAACAAATATGACAACACAGACACAAAAAAGCATACATGGCAAATGCATGCATGCTCATGCTTGCATGTCTCAACAGAGAATTATTTTAGATAGATGACCTGTAGAAGAATGTAGATAAATTGTTGCATTCCCCTACAGAGCATCTACTCGACGCTGATGCCCTATATGGGTCGAGTGGGATCAAGGCATCGTTCTTAAGCTTCTGACGCTTATCTCTCCTCCTCCAACGCTTGGGCATGGGCTTCAGGAGGTGAAGGGGCTACGCTGCACCAGTCCTTCAGATGCTGCGCGGCTGCAGCAACAAATCCCTGGGAACAAGCCGCTGCCGCTCAGGGCCCCTGATGGGTCTACGGTCGCAGGGCTGGAAGTGGCAGAGAGGCGTTTGAGCGGAAGTTGCCTTTCTATAGGCGCTGGCTGCTGCAGCTGCAAGTACTGCTGCTGCTGTCCCACCGCAGCTAATGCGTTTTCTGCTTTAGCTGGGCTGCATGCTGGGCCCAGAAAGAGTCGCAGTAGGGGTGCTCGTAAGTGCCTTCCGAGGCAGGAGGATGTAGCCAAATGTTGAATGCCAAGTGTACTGGGTCTATAGTTTGTTGGCTGTCTTCACTGCTGTTTGCTGCGGCGCCTTTCTCTCCAGAATAAGAGATGACTTCATGAAACCAACTGGCAGGCAAATACACTGCAAGCATTCACGCACGAAAGCATTCATGTATGCATTCAGGCAGGAACACCTGAGGGCTTCTTAGCCGGAACGGGGGCTCTCAGCTAGGTTCAAGCTCGGATGCACAGTGAGAATGCACGATAGAAGCCCTTCCTCAGTCCCTGCTCAAGCAGTCCCTAAGTGCTTAACGAGACAGCAGCTCATACGTACATATATCTCCTTCAGTCACCCAGACACTCCAGAAGCGTTCCAGACAATTAGCGGCTGTCAAGGGACCCTCCCATGAGGCTGAGCAACCGCACCACACTCCGTTACCACCGTCTATATATTATATACACATTTTATATATACAGGTATTTATGTGGAGTTAAAAAAGCAATGGGCATAGCCAACTGCCACCGCCTTACACTCACTAAACACAATCATAGCAGGGAACAAACGGCGGGAAACAAACAGCAGAAGGCAAATAGGAGAACAACAGCAAACAACAACCAGCAGACAGAAAGCAGCAAACAGCACCAAAGGACAACAACACCAATCGACAAACTGATATTAATAGGGGGGTGAGGGGGAGAAAGGAAATGGAAGCAACAAGCAACAGGCGACAGCTAGAATGAACAGCAACAGGCTCGCGGAGGCAGCTGAAACGAAGGGGCTGATAATAATACATGCGCCACAAGGTCGAGTGTCCTTTAGGCAAAAATGGTTTGGAATTTCTCCTTCTTTAACTAGGCGGCCCTAAATGCACACACAGAACCCATTCGCCGCATACAGCTCATGCAGTGCATGTCATGGAATCAGTGCACAAATACTCCTAGGGATTGCGAGGAGCTGGGGCTTGGCTGAGACAAAGGGCGGGGCTGACAACCGCTGAGGGAACCTCAAAGTTCACAAACAAAGCATGAAACATATTGGAAGGACTGTGGGGGCTCACATCACCCTCCTCGCTGGTTGTGGAGTCTCCGTCCTCAAAGCCGCTGTCTTCCCCTGCAGCTGTTAGAGTCGCCTCAAGACATTCATCGAGCCTGCAGAGGAAAAACAGCGCGTGAATACGAGAGACAGACTGAGGTGCAACGCCACAACGAATAGAGATGAAAGCAGAGGAGCAGTGCCAGAAGCAAACAAACAGCAAGGAGGCAAAGGAAGCACAGCGACTCGATAATGAGGCAAACAAGCAGCAGTCGAGAACACCAAAGGAAGAGCTGCACGACAAGGTATGGCGTAAATGGTGGCAACCGGAGGAGCAGGAGACACAAGAAAAGCTGGTTCGAGTCCTTAGCCGTACAATGAAGACAAGATTCACTGCCTACTCTGCCTCAGCCTGGTTCATTTTGTCCTCAAGAGCTCTTTTAGCATCCCTATGCTCAACCGCTTCTGCTGCTGCCTCCAACCTCGCCTGGGTGCTCTGTAGCTCTTCCTGCAGCTCTCTTATGGTCTCCTCCAGAGCAATTTGCCGCGCACGCAGCACGGCGCCTTCATGTGCACCTGCAGCGCATATTCCCAATCCCAAACTCTATGTCCTAAGTTCAACCTGTTCAATAACAGCTCTGCCTAGGCCGGCAGACGCTGCGATGTGCAGGAGGCAGACAAAGAGCCACTCAGCTATAGCCTGAAATTGTTGTTCTCGCCCCCTTAGCCTTTTGTCACCATAACGTAAACCCTACAGCCTAGGCGAAGCACCCCAAACCCTAAAGACTGCACTCTGAAACCCAGATGGATCCCGACGCTCAAGCCCACCAATGGTGCAGCTCACTTGCACTCCAGAAAACAGTTCCTCTCGACTAAAGTGAGCCAACAGCCGTAAACCCTAAAACCTAAACCCTGGGTAATAAGTACACCTACCGTCTTCTCGAATGCATGGGATGTAGGAAATAAGTCCGTTTGAATGAATGGCTGGGCTGTTGGTCATCCGCATACAGCCCTGAGGCCTCAACAGCCTGCAAAGGCGGGGACTGTACAGCCGGAACTCTTTCCGCCCTGAGTGTACAGACACCATTTGCCCCAAATATGCTCATGCTTTCTGATAAGCATACCTAAGCATGCATTTATAAATCGATAGATGCATATGCTATGAAAATGCACACATGTTCATCTGGCATATAAGAGCATGCATATGTATATAGGTGTATACAGTTCGTACGCGTTAGCAGGTAAATATACTGTTGTATGTCTGTGTAGATGCAGATGTGCATGTATATGCACATTCGTATACAAAAATATACTCCTACACGTGCACCAAGGCTGCATGCATTATGCAAATATGCATGTGTCTGGGCGAGAGTGGCAAATGGCCGACAGCTCAAGGTAAGAAAACAAGGGGTCAAGAAACGCAGGAGGAGGCTTCAAGGAGCGCATACCTCTCAAAAGACAGTAGAAATTGTCATGAAAATCATGGTGCAGCCCCGTGCTGCTGCCGTGGTAGCTGTGTCCCATCCAAATGTTAAACTGGGAGACGACGAGGTGTCTGCAGACCCACAAAAAAGACTAGACAGAGACCCTGGACCTGTACATGCACTCCCGTATGCGTACGCCTCAGATTGCCACATAGAATCCTCCATCCAAACAGCATATACACCACAACACTGTGCCACAGTGTCGCGGTGTATCGTACTCCTTGAAGCAGCAATGCAGCCAATGCAGCCAAGTGTACATACACCCTAGCAACCCTGCACAATCGCCTCACCCTGCCAAGGCAGGGGACTTTGGGAAGTCACCCGCCAAAGACCCGTTCAACGGAGCTCCACAGACAGCCTTAGGCCCTGCAGCACAAGCCAAATCCTCGGCGCACGGCAGCGGCTGACTATGTAGCAGAAACCGCAAATGCTTCAGAAGCGGCAGCAGCAGGACAACCAGCACAGACCGCCACAAGAAGAGAAGCAACCAATCCACGTGCCGTCCCCCGCTGGTCTGCTGTAGCATATGCTGACCCAGCAGTGACAAGGCGCCAACGCGGCAGCAACAGTTGCATCAACGGCTGCATCAACAGCAGAAGAACTACAACTGTAGTGCCTGTTTGTTTTGCATGTTACGTTCAAAAGAGCCTGCAATTGTGAACCCGACTAAAGTAACAGAGGCTGCAAGCACAACGCAAGGATGGAACCAATGCTGTATTTGAACAGCTTCCAGAGACGGGAGAAAAGAGAAGCAGGTTCTGACCGTATTTGTCACTCGGGATGCGCTGGGTCGTCACATACAGCGAGCTGTCCCCGTCTTGCAGCCTCTGCAGCACCTCCCCGAACGGCAGCTGCTGGTACTGTCCCTTTCCTGCAAAGGCGGCGACAGCAGCAGTAGCAACAGCAGCAGTAACAGCGCTAGTGACGGCACTTGCGAGTGACCACCAACAGGTAAGGCGAATGTACATCTCACAGCCATTAGATTTCTATCCTTCGGTTTCTATGGGTTCCCACCGAAGCTGGGGGCGCCTTGGGTGCCCCGGATCTCAACGTCGATTGTCTCATTTCCTGCGGTCTGCTTCAGGTAGTTCAAGTCCCTCCACTGCCTAAGAGCTCTCGCGTCCGCCAGCGCCTCGGACTCCTGCTTGCAGTTCTTGGGCTTATCCTCCCTCACCAGACGCAAAAGACATGGCTTCCTAGGTTTGATGTACAAACCAAAGAAACACGCACGGCACAGCGCCGAAGAGCCACTTCCACTTGCAGCTGCCTCAGTGCTTCCCTCGCTTCTACTGGTGGTGCTGCTGGCGCTGCTGTTGCTGCTGCAGTTGCTGCAGCACTCGATGTACTCATTGACCAGCACCCTGTCGATCTCAGGCAGCCGACCCCCCTCGGGCCTTTCCTTCCACGGACAGAACCTGTGGCGCAAACCTACAAGTCTGTCCTCACATGTACATACACTTGGCTATATCCCCGGGCCACAAACCCCAGGAATCTCAGCCACACACCCTGCAGATTCTGGGATCTCAAGCTAAAGATATGCCTTCGTCGCCTTCCCTACCCTGTGTAGGTTCCTGTTATCGCGCTTCTGTTTCTGTCTCTTGGCTTCTCCTGCTTCCCACCAGCAACGCTTGCCCTTAACTGATGCTTGAGCCGATGAACGCGGTCAGCCTTCCTTGCTATGCCTGCCCCGTTGGCGCCGCCGCGCCTCCCCTTCTTCATTGTGTTGCAATCAAAATACAAGGTAGCCCCACTCCCCTCCGAAGATTCTGATTCCCTAGAACAGTGGACGGGTCCGCAGTTAGAGGGCAGAGGAACACAGGGGACTCTGAGACGCAGTCGAAGAACTACTGTGAACTATTTGCGTCACAAATTCTAGGAGAATCAAATAAAGATGAGGTGAATTCCTCGCAAACGGCGTCAGAAAACAACCGTATCCCTGAAGGGCCCCTCTACTCACAGGCGGGGGGCCCCTGAGGTTCTGGGCCCCTCACTCTTCCCACACAATTGTCGTTGTTCCAAGGAAATTTTGTACGCACAATATTAACAAATGAATTGTTCACCTTTTTCCACCCGAACATAGGTATTTTGGCTTCTTAGCTCGATGCGTTAAACATATTCATCTGGCGATATCGGAATTACTCGGTAAGTGTCCGGCTGAAGAAATCCGTACACCTAGCATATTCTCCACAGTTTTTGAGATAATGTACTTTATTCTTGGTAATTTATTCCTTTCTCAACTGAATCAATTCACCGAACTGACGAACTAAGGCATTTCCCTTTAACTCGGCAGGCGACAATCATACATCCACGAATCCTCCAATGGGCCCTCGGCTCGCTAGAGAGAGAGTTAAGGTCCTTCTAGTTTTTTTTTGCTGCTTCCTAAAAGGACGTCGGTAGCCAGTAGATGTACTTGCTATGTAAACTGCCTGCAATGCAGTGCATGTCCCCAGACATTTGTGGAGTTCTAGCTACCACAGTCCGAGGCACGCTCGCGAGCTGCAGTGAAGTCAAAAGGAAGAACAGAGTAATTCATTAAAAGCTACTAACAACTCCATCCGCAGTATCCAGCCGCCCTGGGTACAGCCGCTGAAGTACCTGGAGTACTTCAGGTACTTCAGCGGCTGTACCCAGGGCGGCTGGATACTGCGGCGGTCTGCCACGAGTTCCAACGCGTATGCTGCACTTCAATGTGCCACATAGCCACACACGCATGCATACAAGGTCAAATCCTTTTGCTGCCGCATTCCCAAGCACTTTTGGCAAATAATGAGGGCTTTTGCCTGCTTGATGCCTTGTGGCCGCTAACTACGACCGAGTAATGCTTCCCAGCATATGAAATACTATGCTAGAGTTACCGCCTGACTCCCTCAAGGCCATCGGTGAGCGAAATTGCCAACAGGCTCCAAACTGCGCGTACACCTCAGCTATATAGCTCATTCACCTGCACCATTGTAGCCCAGTGTCTGGCGATGGTGTGGCTGCATGTGGGCCCCCTGTAGTCGGTTTCAAGACCTTGACTGCCTTGCGCGCAAGTCTGTAGCACGCCAGTAATGCGTTCACTTCTGAGGCCTGTATCTTCGCGCGCCTTCATGCAAGACTGTGCAGAGGCGGCTCCCTGTACGTTCGTGCGCCTTCACGCAAGACTGTGCAAGGGCGGCTCCTTGTACGCAGACCTCAATGCCTGGGTAAGCACGGCAGCTCCGCAGCAAACAGCACGCTGCCGCTTGAGGTGGACACAGCTACACCCAGACGTTATGCATGTGAGGTGAGCCCATAAGTGCTGGTATGTAGGCATGCCCCTCTTTAGCTAGGAGCACGTACATAGCCGTGAAGTGCGGCTCAGTGTTGGCTGCTTCTTGTCTCTGGTTCCTTCATGTCTGCCACCATCGGTTGCCCCGTTGCCCGGCTGATTATGAACTGCCAATAAAGGTTGTCACAGCTGGCTGCGTTTCCATCTTTAATGCGCAAAATGGCAAAATGGTAGAGTTACGAGAAACAACGAAGATTTTAGTTGTACAAGCCGCAGGCAAGGAAAATGCCTGGGAAGAGCTAGCCTTCGGGGATTCTGTGTTCTGCGCCGCCATCGGTCGAAGTGTGGAGAACGTTGCTCCGGGCGCCTTTGTCTGTTACACAGCCCTGCAGGCCTCTCCCAACTTCCCTGCAGATGAACTTCGGTGTACTCCCACCAGAGGGTCGAGGTTACTTTGTGCAGACACTATGCCGAGGACAAGGTGGCCACGACAGCAAACACATCCAACAACCCTCCTTATCCGTGGCTCTTTGGGCCCAGAATTCAAAGTGCTATGCAGAGGCCAATACGCTTCTGCTTCCACTGCAAGTAAGGATTGATGATGCTGCAGTGAACCGCAACGACAACAGACACATTTCAAGCCAGTATATAGCAAGCGGGTGTTATGTTCAAACAACCCCAATTAGCCAGCACAACACAAGGCATCCACCAAGGAGCATTGCACTTCTCGCCGTACCTATATATCTACATACCTGTAAATACATATAATATCTGTATGTATATATATTTAGTGGAGGTTCATTCGAGTGTACGTGCATGTCTTGCCCCGAAGGAATCCACAGCAGGCAAACGCCTCACCCCCAGTGTACATGCACATGCTGTCAAGTGTTCCGCTACTGCCGCTGCTCCTGTGGGTGCCTCCGTTACCATCTAGATGCACATCCAGGCGGCAGCTGCCACAAGGAACGAGAGAAGGGCAGGAAGCGCATGAAGCCATGCGGGAGAACAGGCCCTCACCGGAAGATCTGGGGTTGCGCGGAGTTGGCTTCGAGGACCCGGTAAATGTGGAAGTTTTCTCCCTGCAGACGTGAGCAGACACACGGGCACATCGGCCCCCGCTGGCTATCTGCCTCTCGCTGCTACGCCCTGAACGGTCCACCTGCTGCGTCTGTTCTGTTATCGAGAGCACCGGCGCACTTCAAACAGAAGCTGTGGTGCTCTGCAGATATAGAAAAAAATTTGAGCACTGGGCTGTTTGCCATGCAATTACATGGCTGCTGTTTTTCGTTGAGGTCGACCACGAGGCTACTGTAAAGGCTGTTGCTGTTGCTGCACATAACACTGTAAAGGGTACCCTCTCAAGGACTCACGTGCTGCTGCGCCAGGTTCCACTCCCTATGTGACACCTCAAAGTAGCTCTTGTGCCGAGTTGTGCTGCTCTTCACTTCAACAAATGTCAATCGCGGGGGCGCAGAAGTGCCAACAGGCGGGAACTCCTGCAGCAGCCGCACAGCGCATCCCCAAGACGCGTTTACAACTGTATGCAAACAAGTGGAAGCCATGCTGCATCTGCGTAGCTGGTCTGCGGCAACGTGAAGTATCCCTGTATCCTGCAGAGACAACCCAAGGGCCCGGAGGACCCTATGGCCCGAGGAAACAGAGACATGATGCTGTGTGTTGTGCCCCCTGTTTCCGTAGCGGCCTCACTTTCACCAGAATGTCATAGCTCTGCCCGCTCTCCTGCTCTTCATTCAGCCACAGAACCTGAGCGGTCTTGTCCTTCAGCTGTTGCTCTAGCAGCCGCTGCAGGTACCTATAAACTAGAGCTTCCCCCCTGCGAGCTGCAGCCGCAGAGTTCCTTCCCCCCCCAGTGGACGCCTCGAATGGAGCTGTAGCTTCTCTGTCTCTGCCACAGCAACAAGGACACCGCTCAGCACCACAATTTATCTCAATGAACGAAGGCAGCAATCAAACAGCCAAACAATCTGGAAGCCCCTTCCAGTATCTAACGAGCAAAAGTTTAAGGTATCTCGCTTCGCCTCTGTCGCTCTCCTTGTTTCTGCTCTCTTTATATTTCTCTTCTACTCCTGCCTACTACCCCTATTCGAGTCAAATCTTATGTATGCCCCTATTTACTATTTTGTCTTCCTCGCTCTAGCTTGGTGTCCCCCGGTTTCGGTGTCTTTCCCTTCTCTCTCCCTCTCTCCCATTGTATCTCTAGCTCGATCTCTATCAACCTATCCATCGATCTATCCTTGTTCTTCCGTCTCTCGTTTTGCCTCTCGTGAATAGAATTCGTGAGTGCCTGCCTACTCTGCGCACAACTCGACGGCCTGTGCATCGAAGTCGCCGAGGGACACGAGGGGTTCCTTGCTGAAGGCCTCTTGGCTGCCTGACCATGTACCCTGTCCATCTCCCTGTCCCTGCTTTCCTGCGGAACTCCAGGCGGAAGGAGCCTCCGCCGCCCTGGGGTCTTCGCCAGACCTGTGCAGGGCCCCAAATAATCCCCCCTCCTGGGCTGCCTCGCCTCTAGTAGGAGACCTCCACGGAGAGTGTTCAGCCGTGCCTGAGGCCGCATCATCTGCACCCTCCTCCCATCCAAACGCCTCAGCAGACAACTCCTCCACATCACTGCTGCTGTCGCTGCTGCTGTCGCTGCTGCTGCTGCCGCTGATGCGGGCACTCGCTGTAGTGCGCTTCTGCTCTTTGTCGTCGCCCCCCTTGCTCACGGAAGTGCCGGCGGGGGTGTGGGCGTCCCTTGTGGCCTCGTTGTCCTCCTCTAGCGAGCTCTTCTCATCTTGAATTGTGCTAGCATCTCTTGTTGTTGCTGCTATTACTGCTGTCTCTCCCGTTGCATCTGCTGCCTCTTCGATTTCAACTGGTGTCTCATCTGTTGCAACTAATGCAGCCGTGTCCTGGGCGACAGCTGCAGGGTCTGTATCTGATGCATCTCCAGCTGCAATAAGTACGAACCAGGCGTCGCAAAGCAGCCACATAGGCCCCTCGGTACTCTTCGTCAGGCTGCCCAGCCGCTCCCGTGCTGCAGCTGTTTCCTCTTTCAGCAGCAGGAGCAGTTCAGCGGTATTCGACGTTGTATTGTCTGTAAGCCCATCATTACCATCAGCAGCGTGGTTGCTACCAACGCTGCTGTTGCTGCCAACCGGTACACCCTCCCGCAAACCAATACAGCGGTGCTGAAACTCGGCAGTGTCAAGAGGCCCAGCCCAGAGGCCCTCAGCCTTGAGGCAGTCCTCGAATGCTGCACCCACAATTGCTGCTGTTGCTGCAGTTGACAGTCGGCAGCAGAAGCTGCTTCTGTTGCGCTGCAGCCTGTGCAGCCAATTCAGCACACCGCCCTCCGGCGGCCGCATGAGCCACTGCAGTAGCTTGTGCTGCAAACGTGAATAGAGCAGCAGCAAAAAAGATGCAAGTTGTATATCTTTTCCCCCTTTCAACGAAAATAGCCGAGAGATCTCGTTGAAGAGCTCCCCAGGAAACGATGGCAACAGCAGGTCCTGCAACTCGCCTGCATGCGCTGCAGCAAACAACGTCCTGATTTGGTCGGTGCTGCTCCTGTTGCCGCTGCTGCTGCACTCCGCTGCTTCTAGCTGCACAAGCGCAGCACTCAGAGAGTCATCTCCTGTGTCCCACGCCAGCAAAAGGGGAGAGGATACAGCATTTGTCTCCTCTATCTCCCACCTATTCTGCTCGCTGGAGCCGTTGAGGCTGTAGGGGCTGCTTGCGGTATTGCTGCTGCTGCTGGCACTGCTGCTGCTGCTGGCACTGCTGCTGCTGCTGGCACTGCTGCTGCTGCTGGCACTGCTGCTGCTGCTGGCACTGCTGCTGCTGCTGCTGGCACTACTGCTGCTGCTGCTGGCACTGCTGCTGCTGCTGCTGGCACTGGCCGGCAGCTCATCGTCTCCTTCAAGGACGTTTTCCCACTGCAAAGAAGCAGCACACGAGTTCCAAGGCCCCACTGCCCCCGTCTCGATGCAGCAGACTCTGCTGCGGAGATCTTTGCACAGGAGCAGCGACACACGCTGAAGTTGCTGCAGCCAGCACGGCCTCTGCCGGCTTTTAGGCGCCTCCCCCGATCTCATATCCTGCTGCTGCTGATGACGCCCCGTTAGCCAGTGACGCTGCAGTAAGAGATACCGGTGTGCGTCTCTGTGGAGGAGGAAGCGGCGGGCAGCTGGCAGCAGCAACAGCAGCAAACGCTGTCTCAAGCCTCCGAGGGCCAGCCCCTGTGCGAGCTGTGTGGAGTCAGGATAAGCGGTCCTGAGCGGGATCGTCTGCAAAGACGATCCTGCTCCCAGAAGAGATACCAGAGGGGCAGCGGTGAGCTGTGTCGAGCAGGCGGAGCTGAGGGGCCCCACGCCCAGCTGCTGTTGCAGCAGCTTCTGCCAGGCCTGTTGCACAGGTTGCCGCCCCTGCAAGCCCTCCTGAAGCAGCCGCCGACCCATCAATGCTTGGCACGAAGCACACAGGCTATTTGCTCCGTCTGTGGTGCAGTCACGCAGTGCTCCGGAGACCGCTAGCTCTCCCCAGTTGCATGCAGCCCCACAACACCAAACTACTGGAGGATAGCACAATACCTCCGGTGCACCGGCCCCCGTCCCTCCCCTATCTCGACCGCTTTCAGCAGGCCAGAAGGTCCCGCTGTCCCCTTGCTGCACGCTGCACCGTCCTGCTGCTGCTACTGCTGCTGCTTCCGCCGCACCCGCCTGCAGCAAGTCCCATAGCTTGCCGTCGAGTGCTGTGAGACGCAACCACATGGGGCTACCCGCCGGGAGCAACCGCAGCTGTAGCACGTCAACCGCATCAGCTGAACGAACTCTACTGGAGGGGACGCACAGCTGAAAACACGGGACCACCGGAAGACCTCTAACTACCGAATGCAGACTGAGGTGGCTGCTGCTGCACTGTTGGTCGAGGTGCAGCAGCAGCGCAACGACGGGCAGCAGCATCCCGCTGTGGATGGATTTCAAAGGGCACGCTGCTGCTGTTGCTGCTGCTGTTGTTGCTCCTGTTACTGCATCTGAGTACCGAAGAGTAGAAGGGGGCAACAGTGGGCACGAGGTGTCGTGTTCTGCAGCTGCGTAACGACGCAATTTTCTGGGCCTTCCAGGCAAAGCATGCGTCATGTGCTGTTGATAAGTGGCAACTGATAGTCCTGAGGCTGCTGTTGCTGATGCCGCTGCAGGCACCGTTGCTCCCCTTCTATCATCTCCCTCCAGAACTCCTGCAGTGTCTGCCACCCACGTCAGAGCCAGGAGACACTCCTGCAGAGACGGGTACTCTGCTACGCTCAGGTCGTCCATCAAAAGTGCTTCCAGCTCCGCAAGCCGCTGCTGTTGCTGCTCGTGTTCATACAGCTGCAGCTCCTCCGGGGACAGCGGCAGGTCCGTGGGACGAGACTGCCTCAGCTGGGCATGTTGTCGGTCAAGCAACAGCGCGAGGTCCCCTAAAGGCCAGCACATGGGAAAGGCGGCAAGTGGGGCCCCTAGAGGAAGGCGGAAGACAGACTCAGAAGGGGTTCTAAAGCAGATGCAGCGGCCAAGAGTAACCGCTGCAGTAGCAGCAGCAAGGGGAGGAGGCTCTAAATTCCTTGGCGAGCTGGCGCAGGATGCTGGCTGCGGAAGCAGCACAAACCCTTTGGAGCCCTGGGCAGCCCAGTGGCTGGGCTGCTGCGTTGCGGCTGCTGTCGCAGGGCGACCGGCTGCTGCTCCTGCTATTGCGGTAGCTTCTACAGGGTGCCGGCTGTGGGCGAGGTACTGCAGCAAACGAAACATATCCCCGACTACTGCATTGCAGCAGCAGCAAAATAGGGAGATACAACGCCCCCCGACGTGCTGATATAGGCAGCCGCAGCTGGTGGGCTTTCGGCTACAGTTGCTGCTGCTGCTGCTACTTTGGCAACAACAGCGGCCTTCCCTACAAGTCGCATCCGCCGCCGCTAAGAAGCAAGCCGCAAGGCAAATAGGCGCGCCTGTGCTGGAACGTGTTCCACCTGCTACACTGCCATCCGCTACGTAGTTAGTGGTGCTGCCATGGCTGTTGTGGCTGCTGCTGCTGCTGCTGCTGCCATCGGCGATGCCGCTGTTGCTGATGCAGCCTGTAGCCGGTGAAGACCCTGGTGTTTCGGGCAGAGTAGTTGCCAGTGTGCTTCCTAGGTGCTTCAAGTGAGACGAAAGGGACAGGAGGACGTTCGCGGCTGTCTTCTCATTCGGCACTAGGTGGAGGCCTTCTGGTTCCTCCCCACTGCATGCACCCTCCGGTGTTGCTCTAGCTATTCCTCCAGGTCTTGTCGCCTTGGTGGCTGTTGGGTGTTCCTCCAACCACTGTGCCGCACGCGACAAGCTCCCCCTCTCCCACATCCATGTGAAGGTCTTTCCAAGGCCTTCACACGCCACTGGTGCTGCTGCAACACCATCATGCGCAGCTAGAAGCGGCATGCCAATCTCCAGGGCGGAAAGGCAGCTTCCCGTGTAAGCCAGATCGTCAAGAGCCGTGCTGCTCCTGCTGCTGTTACTGTGCAACCGCGGCTGAACCTCCCCCTCAAGGTGCTGCTGCTGCTGGTGGTGCTGGTGTTGGTGTTCCTGCAGCAAACGCTCCGCCAGAGGGTGAAAGTATTCTACCAGCCGTCCGTACACCTTAACACACTCGCTTCTGGGTGCTGCCAGTTCTTGCGGCCTTCGCAGGCCCACGAACCGCCAGCGCCATTGAACGCCATGGATATTGCTGCTGCTGTTATTGCTGCTGTTGCTGTTGCCGGTGCTGTTGATACCGCAGCTACTGCCCCCTGTACATCTGACACAACTGCTGCCAGGCACCGCGCTAGCTAGTCCGCTGTTGTAACGTGCGGAAACTCTTGCTGAAGACTCGCATGGGCTGCTGTTGTTGCTGCTCTTCCTACTGTCGCTGTTGTTCTTGCTTCCGAAGTCGTCCACCAGATGCAGACACCGCTTTTTGCTTCTGGCCCTGCAGCCCATGCTGTTTGTGCTGCTGGTGCTGCGTCCTCTAGACGGCACGGCTATTGCAGCTTCCTCTTCGCTATCGGTGCTGCTGGAACTGCTGCTATCGAGGAGGCTTTGATCTCCTACGCAGTCCAGTTCGAAGAGCTGGAGTTGCTGCTGTTGTCCCTGCTCCTGAGCCTGCCAGCCTTGTGCTGCTGCGGCACCAGCGACAGACAGGGCGTCGCATGCAACAGCCGGAAGCCACGCACTGCTGCGCAGCTGCACCAACAGGGAGGAGGCTGCACCTCCTCCAGCCAGTGGGACTGCTGCCGACTGCAGCCCTGCGGTGGCTGCTGTCCACTGATTGGTACGAGGGATGCTCTCGTGCCGTTGCTGGTCCTGCTGCTGTGGTGTGGCCGGCACGTCTCCTGCCGCTACTCCTGCTTTTGCTGTTGCTGTTGCTCCTGCCGCGCGTGCTCCGATCCGCCACCGCAGACGCTCGCAGTGCTGCCACCGCTGCTGCGCCTCCGCCAAAACCCCAACAAAAAGACGGAGGGAAAGATGTTCAGCCTGGTGTAGCTCCCGCGTTATCGCCCGCAGCAGCTGCGGCGGCAGCCGTACCATAGTTTGCGAGTGGAAGGCCTGTGCGCTGCTAGTGCTGCTGCTGTTGCTGCTATTGATGCCGGAGGGAGCAGCAGCAGCGGCGGTAACCAATCGCTCGAAGTCGAGACAGATGAAGTCCTCTACCAGCAAGGAGACACCTGAGCAGACGGGAGATGGTGCGGGGGCCCGCGACGCGTTCACAATATCCTGCATTTGCAGCAGCTCCGCATGGAGCCGTTGCAGCTGCGGCTTCCCCCACCGACGGGATAACCGCTGCAACAACTCCTCCTTCATGCTGCTGCCGCTGCCTTCTTCTTCTACAGGAAACCCGTCAACCGCACTCAGCTCGATACGTGCAGAGCCAACGTCACGTTGCTGCTGCTCCTGGTGCATCTGCTGCCGCTGTGGCGCCGGCGGTTCATCTTCCATGTGTATCCAGTACACAACCGAGGAGACGTGCAGCAGGCGTTTAAGCCCAATGAGTTCGCAGAAGTCTGCCCAGGTGGGAAGGGACACAACACGGTCGTAAGCACTTGAAAGGAACACGCAGTCTGGCAGCAGGTGTCTGTAGAGCTGGAGCAGCATCTCCTGGTGCTGCTCGTGCTGCTGCAGTTCCTGCTGTGTGCTAGCTACCTTCGCCACCCCAAGACACCGCAGCGCCGCGGACCCCAAAGCCACCCTCGTTCCCCTAGCGGTGCAGACAGGCAGGCGCAGGATCTGCTTCCTAGAGAGACCACCGTCCGTATGGATTGCGGTTGCGAGTGTGCGACAGTGAAAAACGAGGAAGAAGAGATAGCCCACCAGCTGACTTTCTGTTGCTGCATCACACAGCCTAGGATGGTCCAGCAAGGGCAACAGACGTTGTTGCAGCACCTGCTGCGGCCGCAGGTAATCTACACCCAAGCTCCGCAGACACCGCACGACGCGAGATCGCTGCACCGGGCGATCTCCGGCCAGCTGCTGCTCCTCTACTTCTGGAATCAACTGCTGCTGAGGCTCCTCCTCCTGCTTAAGCTGCTGCTGCTGCTGCGGGATTGCTGCTGCAGCAAGCCAGGGCTCCAAGACGCCAGGGTGAACGTACGCCACAAGCGGGCTCCCGGAGAAGCTATCAGTGAGCCCTGCACTCGCTTCGCCACTCAAGCAGTCTACACCTGCAAGCTGTGAGACGCCAGGGGCTTCTGTTGCTGTTGCTCCTCCTGCTGCTTCTGCTACTTCTTCAGTCGCAGCTGCATGCGGCGGGAGGCACAACGTAACCTCCGCGTCGTCCGCTGCTACCAAGCGTCCGCAAAGGGTAGGTAAGAAGGGAAGGTTTCTGAGAGCCCCCAGGGCAGCCCGCTGCTGTACGGACTGCTGCTTCTGCATGCAGACACTCTCGAGCAGCAGGAGCAGTCGACCGATTCCCTGAGGCTGCAGTATCTGGTTAAGCTGTTGTTGCTGTTGCGGTTGTTGCTGCTTACCCAAACCTTCTTGCTGCAGCCTTACGAGACACCGCAGGATTTCCACGACATCCCATGGAGTCAAGTCCCGTACCCCCAGTAAACGGAGGGCGGGTGGCTGAAGATGCTTCAGCACTCTCTCGTGTACGTACACCAGGCCCAAAGCCCTGTGAAGCAGCCAAGGCGGAACTGGACACTCCGCTTTACCGCTCCAGGTACCGCTGTTGCTGTTACTATCCCCGCAGTTGCTGTTGCTCGAGCGGCACATAGACACAGCAGCAAAGGACCCGGAGGCACTATCCGCCACTGCTCTGCAAGGTAGTACTGCGCGCGTCGGGCAGCACCATACGAAGTCCTGAGCGGAATTTTGTGCTCTTTGCTGCTGCTGCTGCTGCTGCTTTTGCTGCTGCTTTTGCTGTTCCCGCTGCTCCTCCTCCTCCTCCGGACAGGGGTTTACACACAGCAAACACTCCATCTGCTTCACAGCAGCTAGCGCAGCAGTTGCAGCTTCCTCAATCATTCCTGCGGATCCTCCAGCAGCCTCACCAGCAAGCAGAAGCGGAGCGAACAGCAGCAGCGACTCCTGGAGTTGTGGGTGGGCTGACTTGCACACAGAGAGGGCAGTGCACAGTGCAGCAGGTAGGTGTTGCAGGAGCCACGAATTCCAACTGTCTCCGCACCTCAAATCTTCGCGGGAAGCGGTCAAGCTAAAGGCACCCTGAAGAATAAATGGCAACCCAAAGCCCCTCACTGGCAGGAAGCAGTGCAATGGCCAACCTTTGCTAGGTGCGCTGCTCCCATCATTACTATTAGTACTACTGCTGCCGTTGTTGCTGCCTGGATCTGGAGGGGCTGCTGCTGCAGCAGGCGCACGTGCTGCTGCCGGAGTCGGTGCAGCATACCCTTCCGGTGTAAGGGCCAATGCCACTACAAGAGGCTCATCTGTGGGGCCGGCAACGGGGGCAGATCCCACCGGCGTGTGCTGTACGAGCAACCAGTGCTGCTTCTGCTGCTGCCACACACAGTTGCCTCCTCTGCAGTTGCCCCAACGGTCGCACACCGAAGCCGGCGACACCAGAGGACGGCAGCAAATGGTCAGAACAACGTGCTGAGCGCAGCTCGGCAAATTGTACACGTGCTGCTGCAGCTTCTGCTGCTGCTCTTGCTGTTTCTGCTTCTGCTGGAAGACTGCGGCATCAATGCATGGAAAGGTGTGTTTAAGAAGTAAGAAGCAGCTCCTGCTAGGCTGACTGCGGCAGGAGACTCTCCGAACCTTGCGTAGAAAAAGGATACAGTGAGGCTCTACCGTAGACAGACGATTCGCGAGACTTCCTCCGTCCTCCACCCACCGCCCTTTCAGCGCTGGTCTTACAGGCAGCCAAATCATTGTCCGCCATATACGTAAAGCCGCTTCAGCTGGAGTTACACTTGCCGACGGTGCTGTTGCTGCTGATGCATCCTGGCTAGGTGGCGACAAGATGGAGCAGCAGCAGCTGTAGCTGTTGCTGCTACCGAAGCTTCTGCTTGTGCCTGTCTGTGTTACGGCGCGCGGGTCCTGCGCCGCAAGGAGGGCCCCCTCGACGGCCTCTACCGGGAAGAATCTGCTCCACTCCCGTGATGGCAGAGGATGGGGGAGCACAAAGCCGAGGCCGCTGCTGTCTTTCGCGGAAAACTTCAACGCTACGCCGGTGCAGGAAACAATATGCGGTTCATCTGAGAGGCTAAACACCGACTTAAAGCCCACACCGAACCTGCCTATGCGTCGGACCTTCTTCTGCTGGTCTTGCCGTTCCTTCTGATCCTGCTGGTTCGGCTGCTGCTGCTGCAGTTTAGGGTCTTTGGTGCTGCGCGCGACGTCACACAGGGCCCGCACGTCTGCTGGAGTGAAACCTCTTTCATTATTAAAGACGGCAAGTCCTTCTTGCAGGAGCTCAAAGTGCAAAGAGGGGGTTGTCAGGGCTGGTATTTGGAGCAGAAGGTTTTGGTGCTGCTGTGGCTGCATCTGCAGCGCAGCAGGAGGTAGCGGCAACGGTAATATATACACATTGTCGTCTGCGTTCTGCAGCAGCTCTAGCTGTAGATGACCGTCCGAAGAGTACAAGTCCCCCGCAAGGCGGCTCAGGGCTCGAGTAAGGCGCTCTCGCTGCCGCCGCATAACAGCGTCAACAAGGGTCTCCTTTGCAGCAGATACAGCAGCAGCACTACCAGCGGTAGTACCCCGTGATGCAGCACCGGTGCTACTGCCAAGACCTACTCCAAACTCCTCAGTCCGTAGCCGAAGCAGAAATGCCTCAGGGCTTTCATCGCCCCACAGATCCACCGCAGAGCCGGTTGCTTTGTCCGCTGCCACTGCAGAGTATTCACCAGCAGCACCGTGACCTGCTGATGCAGCACCTCCTGCAGCAGCTAGTGCAGGAACTGCTGCAGGAACTGCTGCAGGAACTGCTGCAGGAACTGCTGCAGGAACTGCTGCAGGAACTGTTCCATGAGTAACTGTGCAAACTTCGCCTTTTCCTTCGGGCTTGGGATGGTCAACTGGAGCTCTGACTTGGCGGCGAGGCAGCAGCAAAACGGTGTCACCGTCTTCAAAGACCAGGCCCGTGCTATTTGCTGTTGCCGCTGCTACTGCGTCTGCTGCTCCTGTTGCTGTTGTGATTGCCGCTGCTGCTGCTGTTGTTGTAGGGGCCACTTCAGCGGCTGCGAGTTGTGTGCCTGCAGGCTGCCGCTGCTCCGCTGCAGAAGGGCTGCCAGCTGGCGGTTGCTGGTTGTGTCTGTGCTGGTTTGCTGCCCTCCCCTGCTGCTTCTGCAGGGTCTCCATGGCAGCCAGTGCCTCTTGCTGAGGAAGCAGCAGATGCATGCACCGCTGCAGCGCCTCTTGCAAGTGGGAAGACAGAGGCCTAAAGGCTGCGCGACTTTGCAGCAGCAGGAGGAGAAAGTCGTCGGCCTGGGAGCTGCTGTTGCTGTTTGTGGCTGAAGCTGCTGTCGCAGCCGCCTCCAACCGCTGATGGTTGCAGAATGTTGCAACAAAAGCAAACCGCTCAGCGGCAGCAGTTAAAACTCCTGAGCCAAAAACTTCCACCACCGGTGCCAACAGAACAACAATGCATGCGTCTACAAGGGCTTTAGGGGCTTCCGAAAGAACTCTGCAGCAGAAATCCCCCCATGACTGCTGCTGTTGTTGCTGTTGCTGCTGCTGCTGTACCTGCTTCTCCTGGGACTGCTGCCGCTGCAAGTAGCTACGCACTTGCTTCTGCAGAGAGGCTGGGCTATGAGGAGGCACCCTGTGCACGTCCCAGTTGCCGCTCCTGCCGCTGCAGCACTGTGGCTGCAGCTGCGGCTGCCACAGCAGGGCAGCAAGAGCTGTGACTGCAGCTGCAGCACACCTGCTGCTGAGAGCATCCAGAAGTTGCTGAGGTGTATCCCGTGTCGGGTTGGGGACACGCACAATGCTTCCCCCCTCGATGCTCACGAAGATGCTCCGGCTAAACAAACTGCTGCTGCTGCTGCTGCTGCTGCTGCTGCTGTTCGTGGATGAAAAGAAAGCCGCACTGCCGTGCCTGCAAAGGAAGGCTTCAAGGTCCCCAAAAGAAGGCTCGAGGGTGTCTTCCCATCTAAAAAAGGTTTTCAAATCGACGAGCGCAGGAGCCTCTGCGATGGCCGCCGCTGCAGCTTGCCACGTCGAGACGCTCTGAAGTTGCTGCTGCTGCTGGGAGACCAGTCGCTGCAAGCACCGTTTCAATGCTTCCTGCTGCTGCTGCTGTGGCGAGTGCTGCTCCTTGTGACCCATTGTATGGCTGTGCGCAAGGGCTGCAGCGAGATGCCATGGACTGCACAGTGTTGTCGCCAGGTGGATGCAGCCTTCAGCTTGCCGCTGCAACTCGGACACCAAGACATCCTGTAGAGCAGGAGAGATGGATTCCTCGCCCCACAAAGGGGGCAGGGAGATGGGCGCCCCCGCCTCTAGTGTGAGCCTGTGGTGGGCTCCGGGGGCACCACCCAAGCACCGCCGCACCTCTGCTATGAAGTGACTTAGAGATGCCGCATCAGCCAACGGCTTGCTGCGCTGCAAGGCAGATGCAGCAGCAGCAGAGAACTGCAGCCGCACCACGTGGACACACATATCGTAGATCATCTGAGGGGAAGCACCTGGCACTGCTGCTGCGGCGGTAGCGGTTCCTCCTGCTGCTGCCGCTTGTAGCATCAACGAGGCAAAGCGCACATATAAATCAGCAGAAGGGTGGTCCGCTGCAGTGTCACAGCTACTGCCTTCAGTCCCTTTCAGGCGCAGCCCCTCTTCCAAGGCAGCAGCAGCAGCAGCAGCCTCCTCCCGCTGCAGCAACTGCAGCAGCGTGTGCACAGCAGAAGGGGCTGCTTCAGGGAACACCGCTGCCTCAAGTGAATAAAGAAACTTAAGCAGGCTTTCCCGCCTTTCAGGAAGAGCGTCTGTACGCTGCAGGTGCAGCGGCAGTTGCTGCATGAGACGGGTCATAGCTTTATCAGGAGAAACAACGCAAGTGTAATGTCTCCCAGGAGTTTCTCCGTCGCTGCTGCTGTTACTGCTTCTTTGGCCATTTGGAGCGGTGGATGCTGAACCATCGTTTACTTGTTCTTGCTGCTCCTGCTGTTGCTGCATGTGCTCCTTCTGTTGGTCGTCCTTTTGTCCCTCAGTCTCCGTTTGCCCGTTTAGTTGTTCTTGCCGATGTTCTTTCTGCTTTTGCTGCCGTTGTTCGTCATCGGTCTCGTCTTCCTGCGGTCCTTCTGTTCGCTTGCAGCTCGCCGTGGAGGGGACATCTGGCAACGCGCCTTTGGCCTTCTGGGCAAAGCGCATCAGCAGGCCCACAGCAAGCGCTGCTGCAGCACGAGCAGCAGCAGCTGGAGGGAACCTGCGCAGCAGCCGCAACCACAAGTCATGCAGCAGCATCTCGCAGCTTAAGGGCTTGAGAGGAACAAATGCTTCGCTTGCAAGGGTTAGCAGCTCTTGCTTGATGAAGGCGCTGATCGCTAGCCGGAGGCTGAACTCTCGATGCAGCGGCAGGTTCCGCTGGTGCCGCTGCTGCTGCCGTTGCTGCTGCTGCTGCTGCTGCTGCCACACAGCAACAGCCAGCAAGTGGGAACAGAGCGGTTCCCGACTTGGACAGCTGCACTCGCATACGGCTGCGTCTACAATCCGGCAGTTGGCGCTGCAAGCACAAGATAGACGCATATACACATACATATATACACATAAACGCATACGCATATATATATATATATATATA